CTTTGTTCGCTGTTTAGTCCCTTCGCCTTATGACGTACTCATTTAGCGCATAGCTCAACGCGGCTCGCTTGCGACGTGGGGTCGAGGTGGTGCCCATTGAGACAGTGTTGTCTGCGGTAAGGGCGGTCGTGGTCTGCGGGGAACTAATTGGGCCGTCGGAGCTGCTTGACCAAATCCGCAGTTAATTTGGAAAAATAGCATACTAGGCAAGACATCAACCAGCTGCCAGGTTAAAAGTCGGTTGTGGTTTGTACCTGCCTGCATCCAAACTGAACTTGGTGGTAGGTGTTTTTCACGACTAGCAAGTGATTATTGCTACTTGGTGGTCCGATATTCGCCTGCACGCCGTCCTGTGGTGTTGGGGCATCCACCACAGCGAGTGAAAAAGAAGGGGCATTTAACTCCCAGAAGAATGAAGGCTGGTCTTCGAGCAATGCTAAATGTGCTGACTGGCATCATCCTAATGGCAGTCGCCGAGGCAAGAAGTTCAAAAACGCCATCTCCGAAGCTGATATCAGATGATTTGGCTGATTTTCTCTCCAAAGAAGTATGCAAGACTCCAAAGAGTAACTGGGAATTAATGCTGAAATCAGTAGGGGTCACCATGTCCCCAGAAGGACCACAGATAAGCCCAAAGTGCAGCAGGCCTTACCCAAAGGATGAGTCAGCCACAGTTCCTGACCCTCTTGGCTCATTTTGTGCACTCAGTCTTAGCACCTTAAGAGATTATATGCCATACCTCTCAGACAGTGGATTTTCCACAAACAATAAACATGAATGACTCTGTGCCTGTGGAGAAAGTGTGTGCACTTACTGTCAAGGTGGTTGAATCAAGACAAGTCATTTGGAAGCTTGACTAGGATGGAGTATGGGGAGAAGTGTGCACAGACATGTTTGCCAATGTCTGCTCCACAGCCCCAGATGGTGATGTGCAGGCAAATGAAGAGTGCCAGTCATTATATTATGGAAGAATGGTACTGGAAGCCATGCTTGCCAAAGCACCACATACCACTGGTAAGCACATGCCAGGTATATCACTCTGAATTTGTATTATACTTTTGTGCATTTTTATGCCTGGTCACTAAGCTTTTGGGCTGTGCTTTAGGCTGAAAAATTAATGCACCATTTTGAGGTCTTTTGCTTCATTATAGTTAAGCCTTCTACATTCAAAAAAATAAAACTTCAAAATGACCACTGCAGTCCTTGGTGCCCTAAAATCCCATTCATCATCATTAACTGGGTGTCAACCAAAGATATTTGTGTGTTTAAGTCAATACTGTCTAAAACTTTGGTAATGGAATTCTTGTTTTTTAACCAATATTACAAATAGCAATTGACATTTAGGATGTAGCTGGTGGCTCATTTGATCTAGTCATTTATATCCATGCGTTGACAAATTTGTTTTATGAGAATTGCCTAGTCTTGAGTCTAAATCTGCTGTTGATATCCATTATCAGGTGGGGACAGTCCTCCCAGCAGACTGCAGGGAGCACCAGCCAGGATAGCCTTGCACCCAGCAGCAGCCGGTGATCTGGCCATCTCTGCAGAAAGCAAGGCCGGTGGTGCTGACCCACAGCCTGCACCCGGGATAGCTCCAGCTGGTGGGTAGCACGAGCTCATTGGTAACAGCATCTGCTGTTGTGTGGTGTCAACTAGTGCTTTGCATCTGCACAGGGTAGAGCAAATTGTGGATGACTGAGGATAAGTTTCTCAGGCCAGTGCCTTTAGCTGTCATGGAGGAATGTGAGAGGAGAGAAAAAGTCTGACATCTGGGTTATACCATGTTATTCAATTGCTAATATTGCATTGGCATCATTGAATACTTATTTGTTGATTAATTATATAGGATATGGCAGGATGTTGCAATCCAGTGGAACTGAAATGGGCACACCATGTTTATGATATGAACAATGAGCACACCATGTATTATTTTGTATCATGTGCTGGTAATGTGTGTTCTGGTAAAGTGTTCTGGTAATGGCAGCAACAGTGATTCCATTTGTGCTGGAAGTCATACTGCCACTGATGGAATATGACAAACACTTTCTGCATCTGATGCTGTTATTCTGGCAGAAGGAATCAAGCCAGAGCTGGCTGCTGGGGCTCCCAAGGACCACAACGCTGTCCTTCAGGCCCTCCCATCTGGTAAGCATTGCCCATGCCTGGCTCTTGGTTAAGTGTCACTAATGCGGGATGAGTAGCTTGCACAGCTTCGGCATTGATTGATCTGCATCTGCTGAGGCAGCTGGCCGTTGGCCTGCTTCTGGCTATGGGGCTTGCCATTGGCCTGCTTCTGGCTATGAGGCTCGCCATTGGTCAGCTTCCAGCAGAGAGGCTTGCCATTGGTCCGCTTCTGGCAGCGAGGCTCGCCATTGGCTGCTCGCTAATGATGCTTACTGACCAGGTGCTCCCTGTTATTAAGGTAGATACTTTGCATGAGCAACACTAGCCTAACTGTAGCCTCCAGTGGCAGACGTAAGTATGAGCCACCTCACTGTATGCATGAGCAACATATTAACAAGCTCCGTTGTATGGCATGCGACGTCACGGCGGTGCGACACCGACGCCCCGCTGACGCCGCCCTGCCTTCCGCCTGCAGCCCGCCCGTCGTCAGCCGCGCCCCCGCTATCCAAAGCCACCGCCCCCGCGGGCGCCTCTCTCGCCGGTGGCGCCCCGCGGTGGTCGATGGAGCTCGCCACGGGAGCGCAGCCGCCCCCCCGCGGGCGCCTCTCTCGCCGGTGGCGCCCCGCGGGTGGTCGATGGAGCTCGCCACGTGGAGCCCGGCCGCCCCCGCGGGCGCCTCTCTCACCGGTGGCGCCCCCGCGGGTGGTCGATGGAGCTCGCCACGGGAGCAGCAGCCGCCCCCGCGCAGCCTGAGGCCGCGCGGGTGGCGCTGGCGCAGGGCGCTGAGCGGGCCTGCTGGGGACGGGCAGCGGGCCGGAAGGACGACAGCTGGCTGGGTGACGAGCGCCGAGAGCACCGCCGCCGTCTCCTCCAACGCCTCCTCCACCGCCTCCTCCACAGAACCAGGTGATACGGAGAGACTGGCAGCTGATGCAGCTGGCCTCGAACCTTCCCTGGTGAACCAGGTGATACGGAGAGACTGACAGCTGATGCAGCTGGCCTCGAAACTCCTCCACAGAACCAGGTGATACGGAGAGACTGACAGCTGATGCAGCTGAGGTGATATGGAGAGACTGACAGCTGATGCAGCTGGGGTGATATGGAGAGACTGACAGCTGATGCAGCTGGCCTCGAAACTTTCCTGGGTGACACACGGAGGCTGGAAGAAGCCACCGCTGGCTCCCGAACACAACCGAGAGGCCCGTGGCGGCCGGCGAAAGGCCCGGTTCTGATCCGGCTGTACGGTGTCCTTCCCAGCGGGTTTGATCCGACTGTACGGTGTCCCCCAGCGGGTCTGACCCGGCTGTACGGTGTCCTCCGGTGGGTCTGATCCGGCTGTACGGTGTCCTCCGGTGGGTCTGATCTGGCTGTACGGTGTCCCCCAGCGGGTCTGATCCGGCTGTACGGTGTCCCCCAGCGGGTCTGATCTGGCTGTACAGCTGTAGGGTGTCCTACGGCTGAAGCTGGTCCACCCTGAAGTGACCGCCGGCGAGCTGTCCGCTGGTGGTGGCCTGGCTGGCCGCTGCTCGGTGTCGGCAGGCGACGCGACACGGCGCGCCGGCGGTGACCAGACGGCTGGTCCCTCGAGCCACTCCCCGGCCGGCTCGAGGGACGCGAGGCCGGCGGCCGGCTGGGGCTGCGTGTCCCCCGGAGACGCGCACCTCACCTGCTTCGGCCGCGCACGCCGGTCGCAACAGCGTGATCACTAGACCAGACAGTGGCGTCACCCCCACGGACGCCGTCCGCCCCCTCCCCAGGCTATTGCCTGCCACGGGCTCACATCCTGGCGACGCCCCTGCGCGTATCCAGTCTGCATGGTTTGCATGACTGGCCTGCACAGCCCACAGCCCACAGCCCACAACCCACAGCGTCCCGGCTCGGGCGCCAACCGGCCCGCCGCCTCCCGCCAAAAGCACCTATGTCCGGAAGGCCGGCCGGCAGCCGCCCGTCAGCCGGACGCGGGCGCACTCCCTGTGTCTCTTGTTCTCTCGCTGTTCCTCCCTCTGTCTCGATCGCTGTCTCGGCCGTGAACGGCGTGATGCAGAAGCAGGGCAGAAAGTTGGACTCAATTGCGACGGTTGGCTTCGATCGCTTAACGAGCCTTCTGCAGCTCTGGCCGACGGCTGGGTTTGGTGTTGTTGTTATTAGGTTGTGGCGCGGAATGACGTCAGGTGTCGCATGCGTGATAAAAAACACCACCTGCTGTTATTGTTAGTCTGTGACGCAGAATGACGTCAGGTGTTGTGTGCGTCAGTAACACCACCTGCTGTTATCATGAGACATCCCCGGTGGCGGTGTCAGCCTGACAGCCCCTCCTTGCCGGCAGCGGTCGTTGGTGGTCAGGACGCCGCATCCGTGTCCGTCGCTGACGGAGGCGGCGCCGGAAGCCGCAGGCGCAGCCGCACCCGACGCCGGAGCGAGAGCCGGAGCCAACGCGAAGCCCACCACTCCGGCCGCTTCAGCCGGAGCCGGCGCCTCCGCCGCCGCCACTGGAGCCGCCGGCGGCCCCGGCGCCCTCCCGGCCGCCAGGCCCGACGCCGGCGCGCTGCCGGCGCCGGCGCCCCGGCCCGTCGCGTCTCCGTCGCCGGTGCCTGCCGTGCCGGCTGGTGACGTGCGGCCGCCGGCCCCGGCCCCCTCCTCCTCCTCGGTCGCGCCGCCAGCCGCCGGTGCGTCCGCTGTGCCGCTCTGCACCTGACCCCGGAGCGGCGCTGACGGGGGGCAATAGCTTGGGCCCTGCGTGCGGTCACCAGAGGGCGACACGTGCGCAAGGTTACCTGCAACCGCACATCTGGACCCCTGATATCCAGGCGCGGACCATATTTCGAAGTTGCCGCCGTGCCGTGTGGCCGGGACCGCAGTTCCGCAGTACGACCATCATGCACATTTGGCGCGCCAGTCACGGTCAAACTGTGCCTACCGCTGCCTGCTGAGCCCGTCCACCTGTCTTTGACGGGCTGCTGTCGTCTTGCTGTGGTCAGCTGACCGCGTGCTGTGACGGGCTGCTGTCGTCTTGCTGCGGTGAGCTGACCGCGTGCTGTGACGGTCCGCTGTCGTCCTGCTGTGGTTAGCTGACCGTGTGCTGTGACGGTCCGCTGTCGTCCTGCTGTGGTCAGCTGACCGCGTGCTGTGACTGACTGTTGTCGTCCTGCTGTGGTTAGCTGACCGCGTGCTGTTACGGACTGTTGTCGTCCTGCTGTGGTTAGCTGACCGCGTGCTGTGACGGGCTGCTGTCGTCCTGCTGTGGTTGGCAGACCGCGTGCTGTGACGGGACTGCTGTCGTCCTGCTGTGGTTAGCTGACCGCGTGCTGTGACGGTCCGCTGTCGTCCTGCTGTGGTCAGCTGACCGCGTGCTGTGACGGACTTTTGTCGTCCTGCTGTGGTTAGCTGACCGCGTGCTGTGACGGGCTGCTGTCGTCCTGCCGTGGTTGGCAGACCGCGTGCTGTGACGGACTGCTGTCGTCCTGCTGTGGTTAGCTGACCGCGTGCTGTGACGGTCCGCTGTCGTCCTGCTGTGGTCAGCTGACCGCGTGCTGTGACGGGGTGACCGCTGTGCCGCGTTGAGCGTGTGGGTGTGTCGGTGACAGCCGGCCTCCGTCCTCCAGCGGTGGCCGGCTCCGGCCGGGCCGCAGCAGACGGCCGGCGCCGGCGCCCGCCCGCCGCCGGCCGGCGAGCCACCCTTCGACCGGCCGCCACCCTCCGGCGACAGCGAGGACCACTTCCGCCGACCCGAGGACGTCCGCGGCCCGCCGCCGGCCGACCACCCAGGTCAGAGTGCGCTGCGACACAGACAGCGGGGCAGCGGAACACGGACAGCGGGACACAGGGGACACGGACAGCGGTACACTTGGGCACCGGACACCGACTCCGGCGTCGGCTCCGGACACGGACAGCGGTACACTGCGATAACGGGAGCGGTACACCAGCTCACGGACAGCGGCACACCGAGACACGGGCAGGGCCACTGACAGGGACACGTGCAGGGACGCGCAGTGACACAGGCAGAGGCTGGCGGGTCTCAGTTTCCCAGCTGGAGGGTGTGCCGATGTCACCACCCGCTGGCGGTCCGCCGTGCACGTGAGGTCGGACGCGGCCAGGTCCACCCCGGCACTGTCGTGGTCTGAAGTGGAAGGTAGAGAGTCCCATGCGGCATTTGTGTTGGCATTTGTGCGCATTCTGACGCCATGTCAGGCCCGCCAAACAATCATCCTCCTCCTGCCATCCTCCTCCTCCTCCTCCCATCCCTCCTCCCTGCCCGGACGGAGGCAGGCAGCGTCACATAGCCTCGACTGTCGGGTGCGTCAGTCGTCCGCTCTTTGTCACGGACTCGGACGGCCTGACGGCCTGACGGATGTCAGACCTCACGGACGGCCTGCGGCCGGTGGCAGCGGCGGCGCTCGTCGTCAGCTGACGCCAGAGGGCTGGACGGACCGATCGCTGCGGCACGTTTAACTTTCGCCGCGATTTCTGCCGTTGACCGGGCGTTGTACGGTCGGTCGGCGCGATCAGGGCCCACGCAGCTGGCAGGTTTTAGTAGTGCAACGGTTCTAGAATGTCATATATGATTGAGTGTGTGGTGTGTGGGTGTGTGTGTGTGTGTGGTGTGTGTGGTGTGTGTGTGTGTGTGTTTGTGTGGTGTTGGTGTGTGTGTGTGTGTGGTTTTGGGTGTGTGGGTTGTGGGGTGTGTGGGTGTGTGGTGTTTGGGTGTGTGGGTGTGTGGGTGTGTGGGTGTGGTGGGTGTGTGGGTGTGGGTGGGGGGTGTGTGGTGTGTGGGTGTGTGGGTGTGTGGTGTGTGGGTGTGTGTGTGTGTGGTGGGTGTGTGGGTGTGGTGTGGGGTGGGTGTGGGGTGGTGTGTGTGTGTGTGTGTGTGTGTGTGTGTGTGTGTTGTGTGCGCGCGCGCGTGCGTGTGCGTGTGTGCGTACGTGCGCGCGTGCGTGAGTGCGTACGTACGTACGTATGTACGTGCGTCTGTACGCGCGTGCGTGCGTGCGTGCGTGCGTATGATAAGTCACTGACCATGCTGACAAGCCGCTCTGCTCTGAGTTACCACCGGGCGGCTCTGAGTGGCCCTGGCGTGCAGCTCTTAAGTGGCCCTGGCGTGCAGTTCTGAGTGGCCCTGGCGTGCAGCTCTGAATGGCCTCGGCGTGCTCCGTTGTCCGCCGTCGGCGGCGACGGCTCGCTAACGTCTCCGACGCCCCAGCCCGTCGCCCGGGGTCTGTCGGCCTGCCCGCCATCTCATCCGGGCATTACGTCCGGTGTGTCACCTGCCGCGTCCCCGACACATGTCCTGCCTGCGTCTTCTGTCCGCGCCCCGTGTTCTCTGCTGGTGTCCTGCTGTTTTCGCCTGCCGTGCCCTCCTGCCGTGTCTCCTGCCGTGTCTTCCTGCGGTACCATCCTGACGCTTCCTCATGTCGTGTTCTGTCATTTTCTCCTGCTGTGTCCTCCTGCCGTGCCATCCTGACGCTTCCTCCTGCCGTGTTCTATCGTTTTCTCCTGCCTTGTCCTCCTGCCGTATCATCCTGACGCTTCCTCCTGGTGTGTCCTGCCGTTTCCTCGTGCGGTGCCCTCCAGTCGTGTCCTTCTGCCGTGTCCTCGTGCCGTTGTTCTCCTGCCGTGTCCTCCGCCGGCGTCCTCCGCCGGCGTCCTCCGCCGGTGTCGTGCTGTGGTGTTCGCGGCGCCCTCTGACGGGCTCAGCTCCGAGCAGACCCCGACTCCCTGGACGGCGAGCTGGACAGCCTGGAGGGGAGCCGGCCGGGGCCCGCCCGCGACGATGACTTCTCCATCAACGACGAGCCGCCGGCCGTCTACAAGGGTAACCGCCGCTCCGGCGCCGGCTCCGCCCCGTCTCCGGCCTGCCTGCCGCGCCTGCACCGCCGACTAACAAGCCGCGCCCCGGGGGCTGGCTGCGCTCCGCACGGCATGCGTGTGACGCGTCTCGCCTCGCCCTCTGTCCGCGTCCGCGTCCGCGTCTGCGTCAGCGTCTCTGTCCTATGTCGCGTGGGTGGGAGTGGCACGGCCGCTGGTGTGGCAGAGGCAGCTGACAGACCATGTGGCTGGCCAAGCTCCTGCGATGTAAACCCCGGCCGCCGCCGGCTGCCGTGGCTGCGAGCTGGTGTCCGCGTCTGTGTGTTGGTGCCGAGCGAGGCGTCCGTGGTCCGCCGCGCGGCCGGCTCTGCCTGTGCGTCGGCCGGTGTGCGCTGTGGACCGGTCATCGCGGCTGGCCCGGCTGGCTGACGCGTCCCGCCGACGCCCGCCGCGCGCTGTGGTCTCGTCCCCCGGGACCTGCGGTCCGGCCCCGCCCCCGCCGCCGGGCCAGGCGTGATGACCTCGGCACTCTGAGCCCACCCTCACCACCCGCCTGCCCGCCCCGCCCGGCCGCACTCGGCCACTGACCGACGCCGGCTCAGCCAGGCGTTGGTCAGCCCCGCTCCGAATGCTTGGTGCGGCTTCGTGGCGGAGGCTTTGCATGTTGTTGCCCGCATGACCTGTACTGCCGTATGTTCGTGTTGTAGCTGAAATACAAGTGGCGGTTGTCCTGTGCGACGTCTCGCCGGCGATTGCCAGGGGATGTCCGACGGTCGCAGCTTTATTGACATTCTAACGATCACGCTTGGCATGTTTTCTGATGTATTGTATGGTAAATATGGACCACGAAATGCATGTATTTCCACACAGCTTCCGTCTGTAGAGTTCATGGCGATTACTCCGCACTGTGACCTAATAGATGACAGCGCTACTGGTACTTGCTGCCGTTTACCTGGCCGATTCGGCACGTGCGCTTGTTGCGCTATGGTCCTCTGGGGCCTGCTGTTTTCTCTGCTGCCCTGTGGTTCTGTGGGGCCGGCTGTTTCTCTTTGCCCTGTGGTTCTGTGGAGGCCGCTGTTTCTTTATTGCTCTGTGATTCTGTGCTGGCCGGCCATTTCTCTATGCCCTGTGGTTCTGTGGGGCCGGCTGTTTCTCTGCTGCCCTGTGGTTCTGTGGGGCCGGCTGTTTCTCTGCAGCCCGTGGTTCCGTAAGGGCCTGTGGGGACCTGCTGTTCTCTGTATCTGGTGCTGTGCTGCTGACTGACTCGGCCGCGCGTGCCGCCGGCAGCACCGTCCGGAGTGCCGGCGCAGGACGAGCAGCCCGGCGTGGGTCCTTACGCCCCGCTGAAGGCGCAGGGCGGCGACTCCAACTTCTTCGCCTACTTCCTCACGGCCGTCGTGCTCTGCATCATCTTTTACCTCATGTTCCACAATAAGCAGAAGGTAACGTGTGGCTGCGGCGGCGTCGTGGCGGAGAGGCAGGCGTGCGACGCGTGTTGGCCGCCACCCACGGATGGACGCTGCAGCTTGGTGTGTGTTTGGTGCATACTCACCTTCTCTTGTCGTGCCCACTTCAGAAGTTAGGGCGACGCCTTCCGCTGTATGCAGTCCTGCGGATGAGCGGTGTTGACAGTTGGCACAGGGTGGCCTCCATCCGAACTCGGGGTGTGACCTGTGATGTCTTCTGTGACCGGTATACCCGGCACCAGGGTCTCAATTTTAGCGCGGTGTTAGGTGTGTTCCTTTCCGAACCCTCAGGACGTTTGTGATTGTCGTCAGGTTTCCCTGTAAACTGGTGCTTCCTTCCCTGACATCTCTGGCCCTGTCCGTCATTTGTGGTATCAATACCGGCTGGTCAGCATCCGGCCGCCGTGTAACCCTTGTGACCGCTCGCTGTAACCCCTGTAACCGCTCCGTGTAACCCCTGTGACCGGTCCGTGTAACCCCTGTGACCACTCCGTGTAACCCCTGTGACCGCTCCGTGTAACCCCTGTAACCTCTCCGTGCATCTCTTGTGACCGCTTCGTGTAATCCCTGTGACCTCTCCGTGTAACCCGGGACCGCCGTGTAACCCCTTTGAACGTCGTGTAACCCCTGTGAACGCCGTGAAACCCCTGTGACCGCCCCTTGTAGCCCTGTGACCGCCGTGTAACCCCTGTGAACGCCGTGTAACCCCTGTGAGCGCCGTGAAACCTTCTGTGACTGCTCCGTGTAACCCCTGTGACAGCCGTGTAACCCCTGTGACCGCCGTGTAACCCTTGCGACTGTTCCGTGTAACCCCTGTGACCGCCCCGTGTAACCCCCGTGACCGCCGTGTAAACCCCTGTAAACGCCGTGTAACCCCTGTGAACGCCGTGAAACCCCTGTGAACGCCATGAAACCCTCTGTGACTGCTCCGTGTAACCCCTGTGACCGCCGTGTAACCCCTGTGCCCTGTGAACGCCGCGAAACCCCTGGGAACGCCGTGAAACCCTCTGAGACTGCTCCGTGTAGCCCCTGTGACCGCCCCGTGTAACCCCTTTGACCGTCGCGTAACCCCTGTGAACGGAGTGAAACCGTTGTGACTGCTCCGTGTAACTCTTTTTGTTACCAATCCGTGTGACCCTCTGTAACCCCTCCGTGTGCTCCTCTAGGGCCGCTCTGTGTGCCTTCTGTGACCCCTCCGTGTGCCTTCTGTGACCTCCGTTACCCTATGTGACCGTCTTTGAGCCCTCCGTAGCCCCTCTGTGGCCTCTGTGTGTGACCTCCTGTGACCCCTCCGCGTGCCATCTGTGACCTCCCCATGTGACTCTCTGTGACCCTTCCTTGCGACCCCGTGTGACCTCTCCGTGTGACCTGTGACCTCCCCGTCAGATCCTGGCGCTGATCATCGAGGGCCGCAGCCCGTCGGGCCGTCGGCGACCGCACTCGTCCCAGTACCGCAAGCTGGACAACAGTCTGGAGGAGGTCATCAGCTCACAGCAGCGGCAGGAGATATCCAGTAACATCATCTACTAGACCGGCCGGCCGCCGCGGCCGCCGCCGACGAAAACTCTCGACAGTGTCAGAAAATCGCGGTCATCCCGACGCGTTTGGCACCGGAGACGGGCCAGTGAGGCGGCCGCGGCCGGCGGAGCAGCGTCCGTGAGAGCGCGCGCGCGGCGGAGCGGAGCCGGCCTGACGGGACGGCGGCGGCGGCGGCGGCGCTGCGGTCGGCACTGCGTCCCCGGCCTGCGGCCCCGGGCTCAAGGGGTGACGACGCGCTTCGCCAGCACGCTCTGCACGTCCGGCCGCAGGTTCTGATCGCTGAACGGAAAATTGCCGAGTGTTGCGGGTAATAGACGAGTTGCCGTTGGTCCGATCGAGCTGTTTACTCAAGCACAAGCGATGCCAGTTGACGCACCGGACGGTGTGAATTGATTCCAGTTGGGTGGCGCTTATTTTCGAGTGATCTAAGACGGACTGGTGGTTTGGTTCGCCATGTACCGGGTTGGGCACTGGCGGCCGTGTTCCCACGCGTGGGCCGCTGAGCACGGCCTGGCCGACCAGCTGTCCGCCGGGCCCGCGGCTGCGGCTTTGGTGTGCGTTCACTGACAGCCGCCCGTGTCGCTGGCGGCTTTGGCTTAGGTGAGGCGTCAGTGTGCCGTCGGCGCGGCGTGCGATCTCTGTAGGGCGACACTTCGGGCGCCGCCGTGTGGTCCACAGCGGCGCCTCCGGTCAGGTCAGCTTCAGTGACCCGTAGCATGACCCTGGCGACCCTGCGGCCGGTGTGACCTTCGTAGCGCGTTGATCGCACGCATTCTGTCCAGCTATACACGGCGCGTTGGTCGCTTGGAGTTTACGGGAGGGGAGATTCTATGCTGTGATTGGGAGGGAGGGAGAGCCTCTTAATTGTTTAAACTAGACCACGTGTCAGGCATTTGTGTATCATAAAATAAATGAGTGACTCCAGATGGCGACGCCTCCTTCTATAACGGCCATTACACATTTCTTCTGATCCGCCGCCAATGAGCTGCCATTTCATGAAGCATCCAGTCCTGTTCCTGCTGCAATCAGAGTGGCGAGCATTCTTCATGACCGGGGTTCTGGCCTGGATAAGTGGGGAGCAGCGGACGCTGGCCGCGCAGCCCGAATGGGAACCGGCGTTGGGTGGGCCGGGAGCAGCGGATCCTGGCCGGCGCAGCCCGAATAGGAGCCGGCGTTGGATGGGCCGGAAGCAGCGGACCCTGGCCGGCGCAGCCCGATGTGAGCCGGTGCGATAGTCGCTCAATTTGTGCGCACGGGCTGAATGCGCTCGAGACGCCGTACGGGAGTTGAGCGAAGCGTACCCAGCACGGAGCAAACGTCTAGCAGCAGCGGATATTCGCCCGCGTACATGAGGTCCGGTGGCCGTTGTTGCTGTTTCAAAGCTGTGAAGAAAACCGCTGAACCAAACAGCCAGCGGCAGGACAGAACAGAAACACAGCAGCCGGTGCGGAACTTGATCATATTTCGCCATTCGGATCCCGCGTGTTCGGTTTTCGATGACGAAGGCTCCTCGCAAACATTCCAAAGGTCTGTAGCGGAGCTGCACACCTAGCCGTCGGCAGCGCCACGCCTGTGTCGTTCCGTGTGTGCCGGTGAGCTCTGCAGGCTGTCTACGGCAGACGGGTCGTTGGCTCCGCACCCCGGCCCGTGTGTGCCGTGGGGCTCTGCTGGGCTGTCTACGGCAGACGGGAGTGGTGGCTTCTTCATTCGCGGACCGGGGGCTCTCCTGGGCTGTGTCTTTGGCGGACAGGGCGGGGTGGCGCCGCTCCCCCTCACGTGTGGACGGTGAGCTCTGCAGGCTGTCTTTGGCGGGGGGGGACGGGCGTTGTTGCGCCGCTCCCCCGCCCGTGTGGACCGGTGAGCTCTGCAGGCTGTCTGTGGCAGACGGGCGGGGTGGCGCCGCTCCCCGGTCGTTGGGTGTGCCGGTGAGCTCTGTAAGGCTGTCTGTGGCGGACGGACGGGGTGGCGCCGCCCCGGCCCGTGCGTGCCGGTGAGCTCGGCTGGGCTGTCTGTGGCGGACGGACGGGGTGGCGCCGCCCCGGCCCGTGCGTGCCGGTGAGCTCTGGCGGCTGTCTGTGGCGGACGGACGGGGTGGTGCGCTCCCGGCCCGTGCGTGCCGGTGAGCTCTGGGCTGTCTGTGGCGGACGGACGGGGTGGCGCCGCTCCCGGCCCGTGCGTGCCGGTGAGCTCTGCGGCTGTCTGTGGCGGACGGACGGGGTGGCGCCGCTCCCGGCCCGTGCGTGCCGGTGAGCTCTGCCGGCTGTCGGACGGACGGGGTGGCGCCGCTCCCGGCCCGTGCGTGCCGGTGAGCTCTGCTGGCTGTCTGTGGCGGACGGGGGGTGGCGCCGCTCCCGGCCCGTGCGTGCCGGTGAGCTCTGCCGGCTGTCTGTGGCGGACGGACGGGGTGGCGCCGCCCCGGCCCGTGCGTGCCGGTGAGCTCTGCCGGCTGTCTGTGGCGGACGGCGGGGTGGCGCCGCCCCCGGCCCGTGCGTGCCGGTGAGCTCTGCAGGCTGTCTGTGGCGGACGGGCGGGGTGGCGCCGCTCCCCGGCCCGTGTGTGCCGGTGAGCTCTGCAGGCTGTCTGTGGCGGACGGGCGGGGTGGCGCCGCTCCCCGGTCCGTGTGTGCCGGTGAGCTCTGCAGGCTGTCTGTGGCGGACGGGCGGGTGGCGCCGCTCCCCGGCCCGTGTGGACCGGTGAGCTCTGCCGGCTGTCTGTGGCGGACGGGCGGGGTGGCGCCGCTCCCGGCCCGTGCGTGCCGGTGAGCTCTGCCGGCTGTCTGTGGCGGACGGACGGGGTGGCGCCGCTCCCGGCCCGTGCGTGCCGGTGAGCTCTGCCGTCGGCGCGCGCCGTGACGGCCGCCCGCGCTTTCTCCCAGCGGCCCTTCACCGCCGGCCTGATCGCCGCTCCCATCGGTCTCGGGTGGGGATCAACTGGCGATGAAGGGGCCGGGCAATGCTGGTGTTCCGAGTGTCAGGAAGTGACCAGTGGTACTGTATCAGGTGATGGGAGAGACATTACCAAGTGTTTAGGATTTTAGGGTTGCCGATAACAGCGTTCCGAGTGACGAGCGATGGTATTCTTGATTCGATGCGTTGACCAGCGGCGGTGTTCTGGATTATATGTGTTGACCAGCGGTGGTGTTCTGGATTATATGTGTTGACCAGCGGAGGTGTTCTGAATAAGATGTGTTGACCATCGGTGGTGTTCTAGATTTGATGCGTTGACCAGCGGTGGTGTTCTGGATTAGATGTGTTGACCAGCGGTGGTGTTCTGGATTAGATGTGTTGACCAGCGGTGGTGTTCTAGATTAGATGCGTTGGCCAGCGGTGGTGTTCTAGATTTGATGTGTTGACCAGCGGTGGTGTTCTGGATTATATGTGTTGACGAGCGGTGGCGTTCTAGATTAGATGCGTTAACCAGTGGTGATGTTCTAGATTTGATGCGTTGACCAGCCGTGGTGTTCTGGATTAGATTTGTTGACCAGCGGTGGTGTTCTGAATAAAACGTGTTGACCAGCGGTGGTGTTCTAGATTTGATGCGTTGACCGGCGGTGGTCTTCTGGATTGGATGTGTTGACGAGCGGTGGCGTTCTAGATTAGATGCGTTGACCTGCGGTGGCGTTCTAGATTAGATGCGTTGACCAGCGGTGGTGTTCTGGATTAGATGCGTTGACCAGCGGTGGTGTTCTGGATTAGGTGCGTTGAACACCGGTGATGTTCTGTGTTCGATGCGTTGACCAGCGGTGGTGTTCTGGATTAGATGTGTTGACCAGCGGTGGTGTTCGGAATCAGGTGGGATGGTCAGTGATTGCATCCGAAGTGACATGGGACAGATCACTTATTTCGGGCAATCCATTCCAGCGGTGTGAATGCAACCGGCCTAACTGCCGACCGTTGAACACCGGTGCTTTACCGCCAGGTGAAGTGCAGTCTGCGCAGTGGAGTGCCATCCCGTTCTCCTGACCCATGTCTCATGGCTCCTGAACCGTTCTCATGGGCCATCACTCCTGACTCCTATTCTCTTGATTCATGACTTCCGACTTACTTCTCTTTAACGTTTCACGCATGACTCCGTCCTAGTAACCCGGAATCGTCACTTATAATTCTCACTTGATTCGCCTGAAAACTATGACTCACGGCTGCAGACCTCTTGAATCCCGACTCGAGTTCTCTCAACAGATGACTCCTGAGTTACGTTCTCATGACGTTCTCATGTATCCACGGTGGAGTGGATACAGACCATGCCGTGAGTCGGGGTGCGGTCAGTGGAGAGCTCGGCTCTGGTGGATGCTGAACGGATGCGACGAAATCTTACGTCCACCCAGAGCCTTTGGGACCTTCCGCTGAACGTAATAGCACCTGGAAAACCACCTCAGTAAAGTAGTAGGAGCGTTCCCTCGGTCACTTTCCATTACCCAGAAGCTTTGCATCACCGTTCCTGTGCAGGTCACGTGTTCACAGCGGCGGACCAGTATGTGAGCGCACACCTCCCTTAAACTGGCAATAGGTCACATGGTGCAGTTCTATAACACGAATTTCCATACACTATTATGCCTGAATTTGCATTAAAGCACCTCTTCAGCCCGTCCGGTTCATTGTATTTCACCGCCGTTTAGGAGCTCCCACTGGCCGTACAAGGAACCACCAGACAGTGGCGAGCGAGCACGATTCCCACGGTGTCCGCTGCCTGAGCCGTGCCACGCGACCGGGGGGATGGGGGGGGGGGGGGGGGCTGTTGGGCCAGAACCCCAGCGGTGTTGTCACGGCTGCTCTCCGTGAAACGCCTCGAGCGCTGGAAATCTAGAAAGGCCAAGCTGTCATGTCATGGCTGTGAAGCCAACGTGCATCGAATTCATGTCACTGGCTGGGTGAGGGGTACACATCCACTCACAAGACAAGACATCTAGGCGGGAGGGCGTACCTTCAGCTGATAAGGTGCTTTGTTCTGCGCACTTCGTCAGATCTCCTTAAATTTTGTAATGCTTTTTTCGAGCAATTTTGAGCAGTCCGGCGTGACGTAGCTCGTCGTGACGCCTGACGCGTAACGCGTCGTGACGCTTGAGCTACGCTCCGTCTTACGACCGAATGGCAAAAGTCACACCACGCCGATGTCCGCGGGCGGTAAGCAGTTCCGTAGACGTTCCAAAAATTATGATTTGTTATTTGGTCCAGATGGCAGGCGATTCCTTTGAGGCGCAATGATCAGGCAGGCGCTGTTTTAAGCGGAGAGCACCGGCCACTCCTGATCGCCACGGATCAGGAGTGGCAGGTGCTCTCGTAGTGCAGGTGCAGGTGTTGTGCAGGTGGCACAAACGTCCCCGAATGTTTCAACTGTTTCTCGACACGTGCCGAATAGGCACACACCTCGTGTCGCCGCTTGCAATGTGCAAGGAACATTAACGGAAGGGTGATTTATGTGCACCGCGTGTTCACACGCTTCCGATACACTTCCGCCATCAAACTGCTGAAACAGTTTCCCGTGAAAAACAGTAAAACAGTTTGACTTTCGTTTAGTTACTCCGTGTGCTTTGGATGAATGCCACCGGGCTCAGAGTAAAGGCATGCGAGCCGAAGTGTTGCTTTTAACCGTCACCCACCGCTGAAGTGGCGACATTCCAGCCCGTAACCGAGAGCTGAGTCCGCCAGACCCCTTTGAATCCATGATCCGGCCATCCCGATGGCCAAGTCGGTTAGAGCGCCTGCCGTCCGATGGGCCAACTCGCGCCGGGGTTCAGGTCGCTTCAGATGATCGTCTTTTGCCCCAAAGAGGTATGACCTGCGGCTCGTGGCTGCCCCTATAAGGTCAGGTGGCGTCAAAGGGAAGGACGGACCGCGCCGAACGTCACAGCGCTGTGCCGGTGCTGCATCACAGCACGTTGAGCATTTGCCCCAAAGCACTAAGCGCTCTCGGGATTGGGCGATGGG